AAAAATGTAGGTTTTGGGGGGGGGTACCATATATATATATGAAGGTCCTTGACTTCAAGATCTGGTGTTGGACTTATGTCACAGCTGCCATAGTGGTTCTGTGAAGACTTGCTCCACATACTTTTCGCGAGACAATCCTGGGAAGAAAGCCCTCCCCTTCTTTCCGGCAAATTCCGCAGAAAAGATTGACTCCTCAACCTGCATACTCGGCATACTCTAAACTTAACGCCCTCTAGGCTCCCTAATCCGCAAACCTACCATTACTTTCAGTATCAATTAGTATTATCCCAGAACCTCATATTTCTTTCAGTATGATTTAGTATTATCAGTATGAAAATGAAATTCATCAACAGGGATCTCTTGAGAAGCCGCCCTCTGCAGGCTGTGGAGTTGGCCGGAGCCGGGGAGGTGGACTCAGCGGACCTCCTCCGAGCAGATGTCGAGCAGGTAAGGATAACATCTAATACCCTCAATACAATTTATAGTCCCCCTTAAGTAGAAAGAATATGGTAGTATCTTCTAGTGGGGTAAGTTATGGGGTTATATAATGATGATGGCAAACCAGAACCTACTATATGTGGTTCTGTATTATATGATCTATAATCTAAGCTTCTAGAATCCCCCTTCATAACCCTTATAGTAGTCCCCTGTATAATCCCTTATAGAAACCCCTTTGAGGAGTTTAGATTATGGCTCCTATAATCCTTATGTAACCCTATATACATCCACACACATATATATATAGTAGCTTCCATTACATTTTCCATTTTTTCCATTTGATTCTCCATTACTATAGTACATTTTGTGAAGAACCCCCTATTGTATTGTATCATCCCAGAAAACTCCTCTTCTAATATAGTAGTTGCCATTTTCTTTTCCATGATTGAATTTAGATTCTGGCTCATATTATATTGTGTTGAGGCTATTAGAAGATGTCATATTATGTTGTATATCGTAAATTCCATGCCAGAAACACTGGAGAGACAGTTGGAATGCAAGCTACCATTGGTATATGGCTATGTAGCATGTGCTAGTCTTCTTCTTTTTCAGCATTATAATGCGGAAGCAAACGAAAACTGTGCAAGGGATGGGCCTTACAGTGTGGGTTTGGAGTCTCACGGACTTAGGTTTGGGAGCCGGTTTAGACTTCAGAGTGTGGGTTCTAAAACTTCTACCAGTATGCGTCCCTTTTCGGGGAGTTGCAGAGGGAGAATCAAGGGACGAGACACATTGCGGGCAATTCAGGGTTGCTTCACCATCCTCTGTTTCAGATGTCAACTTTGACATCCCCTGAGGGATCTTTGGGATGTACACATACACAAATGAAAACGCATGCATACAGATATACACATGAATACATGTGTATGTCGAGTTTATGTGTATATAATATATAAAAATATATGTATATATACACATATACATGTATGTCAAATTTATGTGTATATGTATGTATGTAAAAACACATGGAACATGTCATGTGGTTCCTCACTATTACAGGGTGGGGGGGGGTCCACCTAAACTACTTCGCTCGCTGCGTAGGAGAGCTCCGGCTTCCACGATGTCCTCGTCTCTCTGCTGTCTGCTGGGCCGCATTTGGCATGTTTGTTTTTGAACATACATATACATTTGTATATATATATATGTTTACAATTACATTTGATCTTCTGTGATATATATTATGCCAATTTGTTGTTTTGTTCCCTCTAACAAGTTCCAGGGCAAAAAACTTTACTTCGGCAGTCTTTTGTTGGTGTCTTGTTTTCTCCCTGAAGGCTCCCTCCGTCAATGTTCCTGCCGTTTGTGTTTAGGTGTGCTATGAAGGAACCTGTGCTCGTGGAGAGGGTAAGGGAAGAGGTCATTACTCTGCGGGCTCTCCAGGAAGGGTAACCTCTCAGCCAAACCAAATTCCAACTTCAAGCAAAGCTAGAACAAGACCACCTAAAAGCTGTCAAAAGGAAGAGGAAGAGTTTGGCTCTTCTGTCATGAATGTGGGACTAAAATCTTCTTATGAGTCTTAGTGATGAAGGGGCTTGCATACGTGAGGGACTAATCAGGTACACTTCAATTCGGCAACCCATTTATTGAAACCCCCATGCAACTTCACTTACAGCTGGCTGTAGGTTCTTCCAAGGCGCCTTGCTGAAGCACATTCATTTGTAGAGATTGTCAGTGCGAATTCCTTACAACTTCAGAAACAGCATTCCCATGTTCTGGAGTGGGACGCACGTGCATGATACAGCACTTCATGGAAAGCGTGCCAGGCTTCAAAACAGAGTCTGCAACGGGGGGTGCCTCCCTTAGAGCAAAACTGATCGGGCTCGCGCTTTCTGGAACCTGCAAGCCTTGGTCTTCTGCATAAGAAGAAGGAAGATGTTAACAGGCTAACATTGGATTGAAATGAGAAGTATCGGTATTAATGGCCCTTTGTGAACAAGCTTCTCATATTGTTGAGGCTTCCATATGGTAGAAATACCTCATTACGATCCTACAAAACCTTGTTTATCCTACCTTCAAGAAGTTATCAGCTGAGGCTTGGGAGAAGCTTTGCCTTCAGCCGGCTGCCCGAGGGTACAGTGGAGGCGACCGAGGGACGAATTTTGGAACCTGAAAGGGTAGGATGTAGGGTTTGGGAGGTGATGCACTGGGAGACATTTAGGTGGTGATGTAGGGAATCTCCCCGTGATCAAAGCATTAAACCTGAGAAGACTGCTCAGCACCAGAACATTGACAGCAACCGTGACGCTAAACTTCCGTAGCGACTTGAGACCACTCTTGCGAAGCCCCTCTGTTGCAGAAGCCCAGCATAGCAGCGGCAACATGATATGGTGAGAGGGTCCAAAAAGGAGTAGCAAAGGCCACGATGGAATGATAGGCTACAGGCAGGTGTTTGCGACATTTGGCGTCGGCTACCAGAGCAGCTAGAAGGTGAACTTGGAGTCACAGCCGTATGAAGCCCCAACCATATGCCAAGCTGAGCGGCTGGCATTGTCCAGCCAATTTGCAAGGTCCCCACAGTACATCCCACAACCAAGCGCTGTTCGAAGGATTGGCTCTGGTACCGGCTACACCTGGTCCACCTTCTGGGAAAGGCATTCTGAACTCTTTGGGCTCTCTGGGTTTATTGTGAAGGGTTTAGGGCTCGAGCTTCAATTGGCTTGCTTGTCACAGCTTGGGGGCTTCTGGTGTGAGGTGGTCTTAGGGAACTTACATCGACCAGGATCAATTCTTGGTGAGCTGACACGGGCGAAGCTTGACGAAAGTGGAGAGCAGGTTTCAGGTGCTCTTCAAGGTTGGCTCCTCAAACCTGTCATGAAGACGGATCCCAAGACCTACTACGTAAACAAGCCTTTTAGAAGGTTTTGAGGAGAATCAGAGGCAGGGTGTTTTTGGAAAGAAGCTTCAGGCGCACCATGGGAGATTCCATCATGGAGAAGCTGGGGCATACCCAAATCACAGTAAGTTCAAAGCTGGACCAGGACGAGCAGTCGCCGGAGTTCCAGCAGCAGTTTGAGGCTTTGCGGAACCAGGCGCCTGCTGTTGTTTAGGTGGAACAGGGATTTAGGGTTTGGGTTTTGGGCCTTTCATGAAGACGTTCCAAATCTATGTACCCTCTTGTTTTAGGAAACCGTTGTTTTAGCGGTAGCAGTGCGGAACCCTTGAACCCTAAACTCCAATAAGCTCAAATCGCTCCTAAGGGTACGCGCAATCGTAATAGTAATAGCATCAGCCATGCGAGTAGCATTTGGAATAACTCCCATGCTGCATCGTGGGTTCCTGTCAGGGACTCCAAAGGGTTATGTTGGGCTTGAGGGTTCAAAATGTCGGTTCAATGGAAATATCTCTGGTAAACAAGCGCTATGTTGAGTTTTATGAGTGGATCCTATGGTTTAGTTTCCATGGATTACACAATTTTTTGGGATGTGTACATCTTCTGGTTTCGGGTATTCATGGAATATATACCCTACTATACTATAGTAGTTTCCATTTTCTTTTTCATTATCCCAATATAAACCCCTACATATACCCCATAATCCCTATATCACCCCTACATAACCCCTACAATCCCTGTAGTTTCCATTTTCTTTTCCATTATTCCCATATATCCCCAATATCCCCACTGCCAGGCAGGCCAAAGCAGAGCTTAAAGATCCACGGTGGCTTTATCACATGTGCTATGGTCTAATCTCCTTCAAGGGGGTTGTATAATATGTAGGGGAGTATGATAGGGCTTAGCAAGGGGATACTTCGAGTTTAGATTATAGCTCACATAAATGTTGACGCGCACGACGAGCTGATTGAGCTTTGCCGACGGCCCTCTAAACTCTATATGCGTAAATCCTTAATCATACAACCAAAGGCCTGGAGCTAAGTGGGGGCTCCCAAATACCCTGAATCTCCCAGTATTTTTCACATGAGTTTCCAGTTGATGTCCCGCTGGTCACCATACATGTAAACACGGCGGGCCAGACAAGCGGATGCGTGGTCATTGTGGTTTTGGAGCGTCGTACAGACGCTCCACTCAAAGATGTCCTAACCCATAGGCGATCCGTACTTTCCGAATGGCGCATATACCCTCAGACGCCCAACAGACATTGCCAGAATCTTCGAAGTGCTTCAAATGTCTAGACGCTTTACAGACGTGCTATAGAAGCCTTCAAAAAGCTTGTAGATGCTTCCGCAACAACTCTAGATTCCCCAGAAGCACCATGAGGCTGCCGCACTCCCCGCATCGCACTTCGATCCCGGTGCTTCAGGCAGATGTGGAAAGAAGATGGGTCGTAGAAGATAGTTGCAGGATACAACTTCTCCACACACTACATCTGGCCGCACCTGCGGATTCAGAAATCATGTTTCATTGGCCAGGTCATGACGGCATCAAAGCCTTTGTGGACGCGTTGCATATACAGTAATCAACACGAAGAACATGGTTCATATGACATGTTAAGCATGGTGGTACGTTGTGGAATGGTTCTAGGGGCACACCACGGCCAGCATCCCATGCCCTCCTTGGTAACAGTTTTGCGTGGGTTTGGGTCCTGTAGACCTCACGCAAGTGTTTGTGGTGGATATGGAGGATTTCTCCTTTGACAATGGTGGTGGGAAGGATGAACAGGATCATCTGCTCTTGCAAATTAGCAAAATCTGAACATGTCATATGAAGTCCCATGTGGTCATGCTAGATCCTACCTCTTACTGACTTGAAGCACTGGCATGAAAAATGAGACGCCGTAAGCTCACCAATTCCTAAACCCTTGCCTCCAAAGCCCCTCAACCCTAATTCTACGACCTCGCTCGTGGATTTTGGCACAGGCGTCAGCACGGCCGTCACAGCCATGCAGACCTTGAACTCAGTAAAGGTGCCAGGGCTGCATCACAGAGCTTGGAGCTTTCTTTCTGGGAGCCATTGGGAGGGACGCCGCTATGAAATATGCTCCCCAAGATATATTGCGTTCTACCAGAATTTTGTAATATCAAGGAAGGGAGTGTTTAACATTCGGGGCAAAGGATGCGCAGAAGAATTGCACAACAATCCCCCCGACATCTTATTGCCATTCCTTGATCAAAGTCTACCTGACTGACTCAAAGTATTCAGGCCGTCGAACCCATTACTGACAGGCCAGAACAAATCCTGCTAAGTAATTCCTCAAGCCCTTTCCTTCAAATACTGCCCTCAGCCTCCACAAACCTAAACCGGAAAAACTAGATAAACTCGAGGAATCCTCGGAGTTCATGCATAGGCACTGCAGATGTGGGGTAGCAACTAGTAATAGCCGTAATAGCAATAGAAATATTATTAGTAATAGTAGGAGTAATAGCAGGAGTGGTAGTAATCGTAAAAAAGAGACCCACTCTATTATGTTTTTCACATTGAGTTACAGTCAACTCGAGGTCTTCTTGCTGACGGGCCAATTTGGCCGTGCCATACAGCAGCTGCAGGACGGAAGCACGTAGGTGTTGCCTTTGTCTTTCCGTTTTGGTTTGTAGGGGTAATTCAGGGTAGGTTTCGTGATGGCGTTTGGTAAATGGATGGTTGTGAGGGTGCATATTTTGAATCCCATGAATATAGCTCTGGGCGAACTAAACTGGTTTGGAACTTCCCATTTTCGTGGATGGTCGAAAAAAGTCGTAGATGGTCAAGAAAAGTCCAGGGGCCATGAGGCTCCTACAAGTGCCTCATTCCAATTTGGCACCCCAAAACAAGGGCCCACAAAGGCAACCGTCTGTTTGAAGGGGTGCTTGTATTGGGCTCCATATTTCTTTGTATATTTTAGGTGGACCCCCCACCCTGCAATAGTGGCTATAAGGGATAAGAGGTATGTTTCTCAAAACCGTCGCAGCCATGGTCCCCCCTGGACAGTGTAGGGGCTCCCAAAAAGACAGTTTGTTGGAATCCTTTATGAGACTGTCCTGCTGGGTGCAGAAGTTGCGCGACTTTCGCCCCAACAGATTTTCCTGAGGGCCCTGGTTTAAAGATCCACCCTCTGATGGCAACATTTCTCAAGCCCAGCACCTTACAGCCTTACCGGGCTACAAGTTGGCTGCAGGGCAGTTGCCTGAACAATATTCTCCTCTAAACAAACAATGCAGCAGATACGCTTCCTTCCTCGAATAGGACGACAGTTTCTGGAGCACTCTTCCCTAACCCTGAAACCTGAATGGTATAGTAGCTTCTCTTTCAAGTTGGATTTCACTTCCTGTTTGATTCTACATAACTGAGGTAGTATCCCTAGACACTCCTCCACAATCTAGGCTTTCTATCTAATTATGAATTTTCTTTGATGCTACAAGGTGCCAACCATGCGCCCTAGTATAGCCTCTACCGGTCTCCTGGGTCCTAAACATGGACCTTTAATTGGGCTTCTAGATTCTAGAGTTTTGTAGAGTATGAAACAGCTATACGAAGACCTCAGGATGAAGCATCCATACTAGGGGCCCATACTTCAGACCTTAGAAGCAAGCAGGGTCACTGGGGGCTACGTCCTTCAATCTTCTTATGATCCTTATCCAATCCCTATATACCCAGAGTTCCCATTGCATGTTCCATTTTCTTTCTTTTTTCGGGCAATATCTTTACATAGCCTCTACATAAGGGACCGACCTAGGGCTCCCATTTTCTGGCCCGTGTTCTTTTGCGTTTAGTTTTCCATGTCATAGGACCGCTCCCTTCGGCCCGTGGCACTCCACATGGCACTGGTTTTACGAAAAGCTGGCACGCTGGAGGCAAAAATATGTGGTTTGGGGTTCTAAAGGGGTATATGAAGCTTTGGGAAAGCAGTACAGAAACTTGCCCAAAGTGCGAGAAGTGTCGCCACCTAGTTCTTGCCGTTTTTGTTTAGGCCCCCGTATTTCTTGAAAGATAGTTGTCAAATCTTGTGTCCATGTGTCGTGTGGTCCCTGCAAAAAGGATTTGGCACGGGAAAATCAGGATTGTGGCAGAGAATGCGCCTTGCGCCAAAGCCCTGGTACTGCGGCAAAGTTCTGGGACCGCTCAAAACTTCATGGGTCAGGAGTCAAGGCGGTGATGTCTTGATAACTGGGGTCGCCACAAGATTCATCCTGCTATTCAGGGGTATGATACGTGGACGACTCAAGCCTGCACGCTTAGCAGCCCAAATCTTTCAACATCGAATCACCAAACCCTGAAACCCTGAACCTGAAGAAATAACCTTAAGACAGTGGGACCGCGGACCCTAAACCCGGTGCAAGGCCGTCTCAGCACTGGAGACGCCACTAAACGTCTCAGCGGCTTGGCTTGAGGGCCAAGCGTTAAGGATTAGGTTTTCAGGTGTTGGGTTTGAGATTTAGGGTCTTGAATTTAGGGTTTGAAGTGCGCGGCTTCGGCTTTAGCATACGGGTTTGTGGGGCAGGATTATGGCTTCAGGCTAGACAGACGCCATGAGGAAACAGCGATGTTTAGTTGGATTTTATTCTGGCGCTGTAACATATGAGCCTGGAATACTTGAACAGATGTTGGTTTGATGATGCATGTAAGGGCAAGCATCTTCGGAATTTTGACAAATGCTCATCTCGAAGCCGCAGATGCACTGAGATTCCAAGTGCGGGGGAGGAGGGGAGGGAGGTTCTGGGCATCAAGGCGTGAAGCAGGGAAATGGTGTTTCCATCCTTGCCTTCAGCCTATGGGCTGTCAAGAAACCCTCTCTGGAAGGCTGTAGGAGATCTTTTTAGGATATGTGACCCCATAAAGGATCGTGGGGGTAATTGAGGCTGGGTGGCCTTTCAGCATTCCTGGAGATTTCTTAGGGTTTTCAAAGCCGTGGGTGCCTCCTGGCTCCCTCACGAAAATTTGAGCACAATGCCTATGGTAGAGGCTGGAATCCGGAACCCTGCAGAATCCATGTGTAGAGAAATGGAAAGCCATACCAGCAATTAATTCCACAACAATCCTTGTCCGCAGATTTTCTACCAATGCGAGATGCTGTTTCCTAAGTCGCTCAGAACCAGAAGACCGGCAGCTTCGAACAGATCAGGCTTGACTTGTGAACCTTCTTTGCAGCACCAAAGGCTTTCCTGTGTGACTATGCCTCCAGCTTCCGGTGTTCAGAACAGCTTCGCTATTTCCGCGCGCTGGACGTCAAGGAGCGGGTGCCCCAAGCAGCAAGTTTCAATCCCAATGTTCCTTTGGGCATAAGGATTTTCTTGCTGCAGCCGCTGACCAGTTTCTGCTGTTCCTGTGTATTCCCTGCCCTGTATCACTACAGTATAGATTTGGCAAATGTAAGCAAGCCTGCATATCAATCTCACTCCTGCGAGAGCACGATCCAGACTTCAAAGGTTTCTGATTTGCCCACAATCGGAGTCCGAGAGACAGTGTATTGAGTCCACTATTTTCTTGTTTATGCCCGTTGTCAGTGTAGATAGGCGCTCCAGCGCTGCACAGCTCCACTTGGGGGGTTAGTACGGAATAGGAATAAGGGAATTTATTGTACAGAGATGCTATAGGGGTTTTATTCCCTTATTCCCTACTAAGAACCAGTAAGAAAACCAAGGTTCAAGCACTTCAGCGTCTCCTCCTCTCCGGCGGAGCTGTGGACGAACTGTTGGGCTATATCGACCCCAACGGTCGCCACAGGCACTGCCAAGCGGAACTCGGATTCTGTTGATGAAGAAGATTCGACCTTCCTTGGAGCGATCTTTTGGGAGTTTCTGATCAGCCAATCACCTCATCCTACGGATTCCCAACTAGAAGGCATTTGTAGGAGGTTGTAGATTCCGGGATATAGTTTGGGAGGAGTTTCTTTTAGCAGCTTGGAGGGCTGTGAGAGGGTGTCCATCCAAGCATAATAGATTTGAGTTTCACTGAATGTGTCCTTTTATTAGGACCCTGCATTTAGCTCTGCTGCCGCTTGTGGAGAGAGCAGTCTTAGCTGCGAGACTGGGGGTAGAATATAGGCTTCTGGGATGTAGGTCTTTGCGAGTGCGAGGGGTGTATACAAGAGCGTTCCTTGGAAGCGATAGTCTTATAATCCCCACTCATTGGAGACAGCTTGACCAACATAATTTAATAAAAAAAGGTGGAAAAAAGGTAAAAAAAAGGTAATCCAAAAAGGTAAAGGTAGAAAAAAGGTAAATCGTGGAACATCAAGAAAGGTAAAAAAGGCAAAAAAAAGGTAAAAAAAAAGTTTAAAAAAAGGTAAACCGGGTAGACAAAGGTAAAAGAAAAATGAAATTACCTTTTTTCTACCTTTTTTCTACCTTTTTCTTACCTTT